GTAAGTATATCTAAAATAGTTATCAATATAACTATTTACACTGTAACTGTTTCTCATAGTAATACATTTTCTATTGATTCTTAATGTAGAATTGCTCTCAAGTAAATAAAGTAAAAGAATATAAATATTAATTGATATTCATTTGCCAACAGAATCGAATGATTTTCTAAACATGTAAACCTGTCTGAAGAAAGATCAAGGATGTCTGGTATCTATGTTTTTAATGAGACAGCATGACTGTAGTGTACCTTTAAAAATGATAAACGGAGATATTTGTATTCACTTTACAAAATTGGATCCAGAACATTTAAGAAAAAAGGGTCTATGGCCTCCATATGGAATGAAGGCGTTTCCATTAAAACTTTTGTCAATATTTGAGTGATCATGAACATGATATGGTTGATATGGAGACCCTAACTTCCAGAAAACTCACCCATATCCGAATCTTTGTGTCCAAAAGTTCATTGTGGGATTTATATATTAAGCAAAATCTTCGAGTATGTATCATTTACAGAAAAAGTTTATTTACAGAAAATATTGAGGTACTAATAACAAGATCATTATTTATTCAATTTGTAGGAAACGTTTGTTGTCCTAGACCTTGTGTTCTCAGATGTTTAAAACTAGATGTAAGTATGTACTGTTTTATGAATCATTGTTCAAAAAGAAAGAGATGGAGAAGATATCAAGGTGCATTCAAAACCTAAACGTTTAATAATAACATATAATATAATGTCCAAAACAGACAAAGAAGTATCGTTCGAAATCATACCATATCTCCTTATTTATATCATGTATACAGTTTGTTTTAAACGTTTATTAACCTGGCCATTTCAAAATATATTCCATGACACCGTCTGGAGTGTAAGACATGTTTCCATGTAATACTATATAGATTAAAATGTATCTGTTATATATGTACATATATGAAAATATACGGATATATTTCTTACATGGCGATGGATATGTTCCGGTTGTCGTATCAATAGTCCCTTCCTATTATCCTTGAATGTGATATCACTGAGTAAGATTTGTAACATAATGTGTTCTTACATGAACAACATGACGGATGCCAAACGTGTAGCAGGATCTACTTACCCTTCTAGAGCACCTAAGATCACCATTTGTTTGTCTTTTCGTCTTTTTTCATTTTTTATTCTAGTGTTGTCTTCGACATATGAGTTTAAATATTCCTTTGGTATATTCCACCTCTAATTTTCAATAATGATGATAATACTGGAACTTATATACATGTAAATAAAGCACATCCATTAAAAGTAGATTTGTGTATCGAGAATTTTACCTGTATTCAGGCGTGAGATGGTATCGTCTGTAACCTGCCGTTTAGTATGTGTGTATTAGTACTATAATAAATAGTCGTAACTATGAGCGAAAAAGGACGTGCAGACATAAAAAGAGCCACAGATAGCAAGATATTCGATTTTGATAAATGTGTAGAATTACATATGTATTCATTCTGATGACTAAATGCGTCAAGAGAAAAAACAAAATTAGGAAATAGAACACGAAGTAGCATCCGGGTTTTGTCCACGTTTTCTCATAGAAAGTATTGTGACCAGGACAATATTTCCATATAGATAATGCCGGAATATAAATGTATAACGCGTAAAATTATACCAAAACAATTTCTATATCTGAATATTTAAGATAGAAAAATTAACTTGGATCATTGACACGATTGCAAGAGTGTCTAACAAATAACATAATTTCCAGATACTATATATTCATGCAGTAAATAGGAGACCTTTAATATGAAAGAAGGAGATGTGGTATGATTGATCATGCGACAACTATCGAACGTACAATAGTAACTGAATTTTATCTTAAATGGTAATTTTGATCGTAACTTTATCAGCAAAGTATGACTTATGAATTATTAGGTCATATATAATCTGGAAGTAAGTCAATTTTCACTTTTATCCACCTGGATTAATTCGGTAATGTCCACAACAGAAATACAATCCCGAATGTCCTTCACATACATGTAGAACAAATGTGGTTTGTGAACGTTTTGATAAAAAATATTCTGGTGATAAAGACTGCAAAGGTGACAGCATTATATCACTACAATCAAAGTTGTGGCCATCCGTTCGAAAGAATTAATTTGGACGCCATCAAGAATTAGTTGACCGTTATAGAATATATCGGATATTTTCTAATGCCAATGCATTGTCAATTATTGTTGGACTTGAATATACCTTTGGTATCTTTCCACTTTCTTTTCAAGACTAGATGTTGTTGTTTCACGCGTAAGTAGCATCATCGATTAAACATTTCATTCTTTGGACGTTAACATGTAAAGAAACTAAACGTCCCAACTTACACAAAGACAAGTGTATGACGAAAAGGTGATTCAACGTGATTTATCTAAATCAGACAAATGTAACGTTAAGTTGACTGTTGTGACTATGAACTTTTCAGATATTAAGACATGCAAATGTTTCCATGCATCCACAAGAAGATAAGTTTATTAAGGATTTAGAGGCAACATTAGACGCGCGTTTGGTCTACAATATACTCATCAGGGACATCGACAAAGTTAAATAAGCAAATTAAAGTAAGAATGTAAAGAGCATTGAGGACTCAAAATTTCCAAAGGTCTCTGAGCTTTTAATATTATAAGTGTTTCGCACAAGCTAAATAATATTTTTATTTGTATGATTAATATGTTGTGATGTGCAATTTGGAACAGAAAGTACACTAGAAAATGTAAGGATGTAATATGTTTATAGTACAAGCAGTTAGAAAAACAAAACATACACACCCTGTAGTATAGACTGCTTACCTTTTCGGGGCATCTGAATACATTCAATTTTTTACTGGGTTTCTCTTTTTATCTTTTTTCATTTGTTTGTTTATCTTTTTTTATTAGTCCTCCATAGTTTTTTTTATGATTATAGTGTGCGTCCTTCTTATAGGTTTTTTTTTAAAGTTTCCCTTATTTTGTTTTGTTGTTGTTCTTGTGTAGATTAAAAAATTTCTTTCCTTTTTATCTTTTAATTTTTATTTGATGCGTTTCCCGCAGTTTTAGTTTGTAACCCGGATTTGTTTTTATCTCTATCGATATGTTCTTCTTATATATTTTATGACGGTATAATACTAAACCCCTAACAGGAGGGATTGTGCCTGATATTCATATGATGAAGACATAATCTTTGAATCAGTTTAATTGAGGTCTGGAGCTGGCATGTCAGTAACTGCTAGTAGTCTGTTGTTATTTATGTATTATTGTCATTTTGTTTATTTTCTTTTGTGTCCTATTCTGACATCTCTTATACTGAGTTTTACTGTGCGTACTGTTGTGCGGTTGCTTTTTCTACATTGGCTAGAGGTATAGGGGGAGGATTGAGATCTCAAAAAACAGGTTTAACCCCGCCGATTTTTGCGCCTGTCCCAAGTAAGGAGCCTCTGGCCTTTGTTAGTCTTGTATCATTTTTAATTTTAGTTTCCTGTGTAAAATTTGGAGTCTAGTATGACGTCCATTACCACTGAACTAGTATACATATTTGTTTAGGGGCCCGCTGAAGGACGCCTCCGGGTGCGGGAGTTTCTCGCTGCATTGAAGACCCATTGGTGGCCTTCGGCTGTTGTCTGCTCTATGGTCGGGTTGTTGTCTCTTTGACACATTCCCCATTTCCATTCTCAATTTTATGTATTCGAATCCACAACCTTACACGATCGAGGCGTGCATGCTTCGATGAGACTGTCAATGCGGATCAAGGCAGTAATTGAGCATGACTTTAAATTTCATTTTACTGGACTATGGACAGAATGGATATGCATATACCTAAAACAAATGAACCAGTTTTATGGTCTCAATATAGTGTAATGGCTTCGAGAACGGGAGGTCGTAGGTTTGATAATTTAAAACCCTCGAATATTTTCATTGTTCGTTTGAATATTATCATTCTCCCGGTTCCTTTTGGTATTTATCTTCATTTTGACTCTATTGTTGACTTACAACGTGTTTATCGTTCACAAGTCAATTCCGCTTTTGTCACCAGCGTGAATTTTCTTTTCTGCCACCAACATCGAACTATCCTCCAAAAGCGTCAACTTTATCGCTCGTACTAAACATTGGCCACTGCAACGGGAAATTTATAAATTTTCTGTTTTTTTTAGGGTTAAAGCTGTGTTTGAGGTTTTAATTACCGTTTACCTTGTTCAATTTACGTGATCGGATATTACGAAAATCAATCCCTTTTATAAAATTTCCAACTTCCTATTTTGTAGGGTAGTGTTCACGTATTTTGTTTTTATTCTTATTAACCATAAAATTTCCTTCGGCTTCCATTAATAACAGTGGATCTATTTATTCGATCCATCTTAGGTAATTTATACAAATTAACTTAACATACTATTATATATAAATACACATAGCTTTTATGTACATTTGGATAATTAATAACTCCTGATTACATTATGATCATAGGGCGTGGATGGTACAGAAAACCACACAAAAGTTTCATTGTGCGGTCGCATTGTCATATACTTTACAAACAACAACAGTTAGGCCGTATTTGTTTTAATATTTGTTTTGTGTCAAATCATGATATATCTCAGACTTTCGAAGTAGTCAGAAAGATAAAAAAAACCAGATATATCAATCAGTTCTAATTAGTTATAAATACTGTTTGGCTTTTTATTACACGCAATACCAAACTCATTTTTGGTTAATAACTGTTTTAAGAAAACTTCAAATCTGTATAGAACATTATAATTTCTACCAGATAATGAGATACTTACGAGTAACATTTAAATTTCTCCTCAAATGTCTTGGGGCCTGCATTTCCGTATAGGTTTTATGCATTATTGTTTGAGATTTTCCGATTTTTCTTTCTTCTGTAACTGCATGTCTATTTGTAGCTGTTATATTAACCAAATTCAGGCCCTCATATGTGGTGTTTTTTCAAACTTTATCTTATCGAATACCTATCACATAAAAACAATACTTTGGCCTTATTATAATATTCAAATGTATAAAACTGAACTGAACTGAATGTATTTTTAACCTTGATAATTCTACAGATTTAAGATTAATATGAGAGTTTGGATTTTTCTATTTTGTATTTTTGATCCAGTAAAGGTTTGTTTTATTATTTTCATTCTTAACAGCATACTTTTTACAGAAACCGATTTGAAAGGAAAAAATGAGATAGACATCGATAAATAAAATTTTGAAAAAATGTTAAGAACTGCTTGGGAAATGACTAGAAGAAAGTTCACTGAACAAAAATATATAGAACATAGGTGAACTACCGGACATTCATCTTTTGTGTGGGCGTAAATGTGCATGTGTGATTGTGTGTGTGTGTGTGTGTGTGTGTGTGTGTGTGCGTAAATGTACATGTGTGGTTGTGTAATCGTGTGAGTATATGTGTGTGTGAGTGTGGCAGATGAGATATGGAATGCTTTTCAAATACAGTCGAACTTCGTTGTGTCGAAGTCGAAGGGACCGGACCAAAGTATTCGACTCATCCGAGGTTCGACTCATCCGAGGCCGAGTGTGTCATAAATTTGGAATGTATGAAATACGGTATAAGATTTGTGTAAACTAGATACAATGAACAGTGTGACTTTTTTTTCGATATGACACTTTATGATTGTGTATTCAATCTCCATTTTTGGTCCTTCGTAATAATTAAACACACAAGTACAGATACAAATCATGCACAAATAAAATCAATAGTCTACACAATTATTTACAAAGGTCAGTCACTATAAATTATGAAATCACTTGCGGAATGAAATAAGTTCTGAACGGTCTCTAATGAGGTCGTCTGCTTTACATTAAATTATCATGAATTTATCATAATTATATTAATCCTTTTATTTATTGTAATTAATGAGTTTTAAATCTAACGATTCATTTAATCTCGGCTTGGGTCATTTAAATTCGTTTCGTTTTTATCTCTTGTGAAAAATGTTCAACACACTAACATTCCGCTTGAACAATCAACAAAAGAGTTAATTACCGGTCACCATAAACATGTCATTTTAACTGTTATACAAACAAATATGTTAACTCAGCTTTAATCTCTTTTGAAAATGATTAGGTTGCATAAGAAATACATCCGATTTGAATTTTTATCCTTTCGAAAATTTTTACTTTCGAACTTCGAGACATCGGGGTCAATTAAGATTAATTTTACATCGACTGGACTATCAAATTTACTCGACTTAACCGAGTATTCGAATCAACCGAGTTCGACTCATCAGAGGTAATTATGCATTGATCAAATGAGAATTTTACCGGGACCGAGAAATTACTTCGACTCATCCGAGTTTTCGACACAACCGAGTTCGACACAACGAGGTTCGACTGTACATTGTTAGATTCTGAATGTCTTTAGAAAAATAATTTGTTTCGTAATGGAAGTTAAAACATAGTTTGTTTTCAATTGAAAACTGGAGAAAAGAATTAAAATAAAATCGTTCTTAAACAACATTTCGTTCATTGCTTTTTACTTAAATCAGACTGTTAGTGTTCTCGTTTGAATTGTTTTATATTTATCATTTCGGGGCCTCTTATAGCTATGCGGTATGGGTTTTGCTCATTGTTGAAGGCCGTACGGTGACCTATAGTTGTAAATTTCTATGTCAGTTGGTCTCTGGCTGTCTCATTAGCAATTATACTACATCTTCTTATTTTTATAAAAAGGAGACATAAAATACTAGACACACTATATCAAGTTTTGGTATTCATCTGTAAAAAAATGTATGCATTCGAATTGATAATCATATATACTTATGAAGAACAAGAATATATATGATGACGTGAACCATCTTATACAGGTTTTATTTGACGTTTATATTTTATAAATTTACTGTTTGCAAAAATATGAATTATTCTAGCTTGTCGTAATGTTCTATTGTATTGTTTATTTGTGTGTTACTCTGTCTTGTATGTTCTTCCATTTATTTGTATTATAGTCCTGTCATGTGATGTTTTCATTTTAGTGTTATATTTAACATTGTCATTAAAGCGGGAGGTTTAGCTAGCCACAAAACCAGGTTCAACCCACCATTTTTACTTAAAATGTCCTGTACCAAGTGAGGAAAATGACTATTGTTATCTTATAGTTCGTTTCTGTGTGTGTTGCATTTTAGTGTTTCTGTAGTGTCTTTGTTCTCCTCTTATATTTGATGTGTTTCCCTAAGTTTCAGTTTGTAACCCGGATTTGTTTTTTTCTCAATCGATTTATTAATTTCAAACAGCGGTATACTACTGTTGCCTTTATTTAACTATAAGTTTGTGTATTTAGCTTGCATAATGCCTACGTATAGTTTGCATTGATGAACGAACACCGTAAAACATCAATATCTCAGTGAGTTTATGTACATTTGACATAACAAATAAAAACTGTGGCGTCATAAAAAACACAACTTATTTCCCGTTTCAGGTCATTTAATATTTGTTATTAAAAAAGTTGAAATTAATTTGTTAAACAATAAATTCCTGTCCTGATTGTTCATTCAAATAGTTAGAAAGAAGATTTTAAGCAAGCAGTGAAAACCATAAAAAAAAACATCATGAACAAAATAAAAAAGACAAACAACACAACACAAAACTCTCAAATCCGAGCAACACGAACAACGACGTTAAATTTAGTTTTATTTAACGATACCTAGTAAAACATGTTAGTTAGACTACTTCCCATTACATTGAAAGTACTTGATAGATAAAGCCAGGTTTTAAAAAAGCTGTCCAACCATTGAGATCAGTATGCATCACCAAGTTCAAATATTGTGTCAAGGATGGATGGTAATTTATTCCCACTTTAAGCTTCAGAGTACTGGTGCTGGTCATGCCTAGACGACTTTATAACCTCTAAAAAAACTTTGTCAGGTTTATTTTGTGTCAACGATGAATGATAATTTATTTAAACTTTTAGTCTCAGAGTACAGTGACAAAGCCTGGTGTTTGTCATGCTTACAAAAGTTGTAATGATATAAAAGCATTGCCATCAACTTCATTTTGTTCCGGGTCTGGGAACGACGAAGAGTGTAATGGTTAGTACAATTAAATTTACTCAATCTAAACTGATGAAAATGTGAATTAAATGTAATGTGGGGTATACATCAATGAAACATCAACCTTACGACACCAATAACCAAATTGCATCGAGACGGCATCATATAAAAAGTTCAATAGAAAAGCAAGGAAAAGGTGTATCAATTCAGGACACAAAAGAAAATACACATATAAAGCAAAAAACATCGATTATACAGCTGTTTCTCATTTCATATCCAAAGCTAGGCGTTCAATATGGAGCAAGCACTATCACATTACGGCAAGTTCAAAACTGAACGAAATTGTATACATGGATATATAGTAAAACAGATTAAAGAGTATGTTAGAAGTACCGAAACAGTGTGCCAAACTATATTGAATATTGATAAACAAATGTTGGTAAACTTTCGCCCGAAACAACGGCAAGAAAATTCTTTCAATAGATATCTAAAAAACATACCCCTTAATAATCAACGAACAAATTCAAGTGTGACCGTTTTTAAAATTTTTGTCAAGAAGAAATTGTATTCTAAAATATGTGAATCCCTCATTGATTCAAATTTAAAACATTTCACTTCAATCATGATAATTGGTGTATTTTTGAAACCTCTCAAAGGTTTTACAAATTGTTACTTTGAAAGTAATTACAAGTTTATACATGTTTCTTTGTCAGGAAGTGAGAAATGTTGTCCTACCGAATGTGCGCTCTGGATATGCAGAGAACCGATTCCGGTAAGTGGTTGAAAATCATTTACAAAATCCTTTACCTCAGTTTTCGCTTTCAATTTTTTCTTGCTCGATTTGAGCTACCAAGGCTTCAAATGTTTCAAATGAAATCTTACATAAAATAATATTATTGAAAACAAATTCCCCAGGTTTCGTTTGTGCAAGTTTATTATGCCAACAAGCAATTTGTATATAAACTGCCATGAATGTGTACAGGGATCAGTAAAAGATCTATCGTTACTTTTTCGTGGACCAGTTGAAACTACGAAATCCCCTTGATCTATAGTGTACTTGCAAATTAAGGATAGAGGAAAAGATAAATAAGACATGATCATTATGTGATATACATCATGTACATGTATACATTTCAGGAGCCAAGATCAGTATGTCGGAAGCGACCCTCCACTAACTGTTCCCTTCACACCTCAATGTGTAATTCTGATCTACAATGTGCTTATGGTAAGTTATATGTGTCCTTTAAATGTGTTATTGGTATTGTCTTGAGTATGTAACAAGTCAGGCTAACTGAAACATGTTGTATTTGTTTTGGTTGCCTACGTTTGTACGTCTTTTTTTTTTGAAGGAGACAGTCTGTAAATATTACTCGTTATTCCTTTTATTCTGTTTGCAGTCCTTACTCACACTTATTTGGATCTTGATTTATCTTTCTTTCACAACAATATAAAAAGTCATAGGTCTATTTATTCAAAATCGTTTAACGTTTGACGCTATGAAGGTCGTAAATAACTACTTAAATATATGTATGAAACTACCAAGTTGGTTATCCAAAATGCATAATAAAGGACAACAGAGAAAGGAGAGAAACGCGTACAAAGAACTAAGTCCACTAAGCACTAAACAGTAAGTTACTGACTATTTGTCTTAAAAGGGGGAATTGATACAATCAGTTATTTCAAATTAAATTAGACAACTCAATAACACACAGGAGAACACGATTTCTATATCGAAACGCAATGTATTTTCTCTTCTAATGTTCAATAAGAACACAATATTATTTTCCTTCCTGAAACTATTTTCAAGCAATCTAGTAACAAAGTAATCCCATGTCATTTAAACCTATATTTCCAGAGATGAATGGTGCGTGCCGAAACTGAACAAAAAAAAAACGAAAAAAAACAATTGATTATTCCTTAAGCTGTACAAGTGTGTGGTGTTTCTTTCTCTCTTGCATACACTTGTTTTACCCAAATCTTTCCTTCAATAGTTTTCTCTTTTTCTTCAAATCGCCTGTCCTTCACTACTCTTCCTCCAATATTTTCTCTCTATCTTCAATTCGCCTGTTCGTCACTACTCTTTCCTCCAATACTTTCTTTCTTTCGTCCGTACGCCTGTCCGTCACTTCTCTTTCCCGTCAATGCATTCTTCTCGAAAAAAACTAAATTTATATTATAAAGAAACGAAAATATTGCCTAATATTTCAACTTAAAGGCTTTCGTTGATTTCAAATTGTTCACCTTATTAAACAATGTTGTGCTTTTTTTTTAGGTTTGATATGTTGTGATGTTGGTTGCCGAGCAGACTGCAGTCTTCCAGTAAGTCTTATCCTCTTCTTTTCCGGAACACCTCACTTTTCCTTAAGTTTTACGTGTCCCTCTTTAAGCTGTTCAAGTCATTGTATGTCCTAATTTGACTTGCGAGGTTGTTACATGCTGTTTTATATTTGTTACGATCGACTTTTATAACATATAAGTTGAACATAAATAACACAGCTATCCAATATTAGGGAACGCATGATTAATCTAAGCGGAAGTGACGTTGCGCGAAATTGAAGAAGGTAAAGAAATCTTTACTTTACTTTTTGAAGGAACTTAACTGAGCAAGGTACTGGTTGTTGAGAATTCCGAGGATACACATATTTCCATTAGTAATTGACAAAATTAAGTTAGGTTAATTTGTTAGGTATATTAGTATTAACTTCATCAATCTGGTATGAGGCTAATAAATAGTTTAAATAAAGTTTTTAGTTTAATCATAAACAAAAACCTATCATACAATAATAGTATGTGTTTTATATGTTTCTTGTCTGAAAGCTACGGACTGTTATTTTTCTTTTCGTCGTTTTTAATTTTTGACATGGTTTCGACAAATATCTTCCACCGCTTTTCTAAATGAAACATTTTGTTTTGATGCTTTGATTCATAATTGCTAAAACCAGCTTAAGAACTATTAAAATGCATTGCTGATTTAACGATTTTCCAAGTTATACCATTGTAATTCCCATTTAATATTTTGCTTTATCTATTTTACAGACATACCTAGACAAAATGGCTTCCAGATGGTCTGGAAAGGGCTAGTGTCTGAAATTCAGTACTGTCTAGTTTTAAATAATAAATTAAAAAATATATATAAACAAGCGGTTTGTGTTGATGTTCTGTTCGTCGAATATTTGAAAATCGATAAAACTCTTTAAAAAAGCACGAACCTTAACAAAAAGAGTAAAAGCATTTTGTAGAAAAGCATTTTGTTCTATGAAATAAAGATGAGAGTGTGCGTCAATGAATCAGCAACATAACGTCGAAAATAATTTCCCTGTTGTCCGACAGTAGCGCTATTTGTTGGCTGTGCAGGATATATTAATAAGCCGTCGCATCATGTCAAAACTGGGCCGTTAGATCTTATGCTGAATTCCATACTATCTCTATCCTCTCGCCATTTTTCTACCTTGCAGAACTTAACTTTTGTCCGGAATATGCATTCAATATTTGTTCAATAACGTTAAAAGGCAACATCAATATTTTGTAGAAGGGTTTTAAGCGTAAGACAAAGCCAAGCGGATTTAATTTGTTTCATGCAGTGTTTCTCTGTTTCTCTGTTTCTCTGTTTCTCTGTTCTCTATTTTCATTACCCATTACTTCTATTATTCTTTTTTCTTAATATTTTAACATCCCATATATTCTTTGTTTTTGAATAATTTTCTCTATCCGTTTATTTTCTTGTCTAATTATAAATGTGTTATATGAACCCTGTTCAATCCCCAATTTATGATACAAGTAGGTGTCCCTTCTTTCTCATTATAAACATTATTATTGATGATGTGAAACGTGTTACTCTACATTGTAGACGTATAAAACTGTCATTGATTTTAATGCATTTAATGCTTATAGAGCAAAATATTGTAAACATTGTTTAATGGCATTTCTAACTGTATATTTAAAAAGTAAAATCACCAAAATACTGAACTCCGAGGAAAATTCAAAACGGAAAGTTCCTAATCAAATGGCAAAATCAAATGATAAAACACATCAAACGAATGGAAAACAACTGTCATATTCCTGACTTGGTACAGGCATTTTCAAATGTAGAAAATAGTGAATTGCACTATTAATTACACAAAAAATCTAAATGCATTCTTTTTATAATTCAAAAAACAAGTAACAACTAAAATAAGTACCTGTGCAACTATCGTAGCATATTTTTAATACCCTTTTCATTTATTATTGAATTTATTATATGACGTTATCAGCCTTTCAAATGCACAATTCACGTAACATGCATTAAGTAGATTATGTACAATGTATGTACTTGTATCACATGTATTGTATTGTAAATGAAATGACACAGAAGAAAACAGAAAAGGAAACAGTAAACTTCTTACTTATTTCATGTTAAACCGAGTTTATGTTCCTATTACATCTTTCAAGTGTTAGTGTAAACAATAAAGTAACGAGTCATCTTAAATGTGTTGCATTGTAAATATTTTTTTGCATCCTTCTTAAACAAATGGGATTTTACCAAATTAGTAAAGCTTATTATTAAAAAGCAGGTTATTTTTTCTTAAATAAGAAAATGCAAAACTTAATTTGATTTCTACCTAGATTGCATGGATAAACCAAAGTTTTTCTATCCCCGATTCCCCCTCCCCTTCCGCCCATTTGGTTCATTAAATTTAGTATTCTTATTTCAGACGACCCGTGACATACGTATTGAAGGTTTGCATGTTGGTATTGACTAAAGTAATACAACTATACAAAGATACATCTCAAACAATGTTGCAACACAGGCATAGCTGACGTTTGGGTGTTCTCTCGCCTACCAATTTATGTATGCTATTTTAGTGTTTAATATTTTCAAACGTTGCATATTGTTGGCCCTCTGAATGATGAAGGTCATTCCAGGAATACGTGTTGTGCATAAGTTTTCTCCCGTTTTAAATGGAAGGGAGTGGGATGGGTTGGAACAATGGTATTCTGTCTTTTTCCCATGCCTTACTTTTTCGTTTTTTTAATAATTAATATTATGTTGTTGACTATTGGTTTACTTTTCCGTTTTTCTGATCGGTCATAGTGTTGTGTGTTTATCCTCGAATTACAGTTTTGGATTGTCCATTTTCTATGTTCTACCTCTAGTTTTGCAATGACCTCGGACGAAATCGGTCGGGCACAGTTAGGTCGTTATGCTAAAATAAACATGTTAAGAGTGCATCGGAAACTTGTGCTTTGCATTTCATTGCTTCTGTCAATGCAAATAGTAATTTTGTCTGTAGAAGATAAGTCCATTTATCAGTAAAATACGGAAATTATTACAAAAAATCAATCTTTTTATAAGATGCTATTTCTTGACTTTGCAGATTACCGTCAGTTAAAGTTTTATCACAATCAAAGAAGGTTAAAAATTTATAATGTTAAGAAATTTAATTCCGTTCTGTATGTGAACGTGAATTACAAAACATTATATCCATCTACGTGTATATACATAATAGCGAAAATGAGAAAAAAAAACATACTTTCGAAATTTTGCTTTAGAAATTATATCTCAATCTTGAAAATTGTTTTGCCACAATTGCATAAATTATATGCAGGTTTGACAAATTATTTCATGTCTTTTGATCATAAAAAGCTTTTGAAAGTTTACGTGAAATTCCATGAAGGTTTGACAAAGTTATTGATGACTGAAAAACTTAACCCTAGACTACCGCAATGTTAACTGCAAAAAAACTATTAAGTACATTTGTCAGTAAATACGGATTTTTTTTTTAAAGAATATAATACCTAACAAAATATTCTCAAAGAAAGAATTTCAGATATTCGAATACAAAGATGCCTCTTAGCGGAATATCCCTTCCTATTAGCGGTGGATATATTTGCTAATTACACCTTATATAAGAAAGCCAGATTTTTTGCCATTTTGGATATTCCTTTTGTACCCTATCGAGCATTTTACAGCTAAAAAATTTCGGATATGACGTTACATAAAAAAATGAGCTAACGCGTATTAGTACATGTATAATTCCCGCGGTTCTATGATAATATCCTCTCATCCTCAAAATTATGCATAAACATGTTCATGAATTAGATTCAATCCAAATCAGGTTTTCATGTATGTACAACCACATGCATAAATTAACGGACTGACGCAAATATTTATACGTCCGGTGTAATTAAACAGATATATCATGTTATGGAGGGGTATTTGCGAAAAATACCAGTCTTGGGACCAAATTTCCTTCGCCTTGCGGCTCGGGTAATTTTACAGTCCCTTGACTGGTATTTTTCGCAAATACCCCTCCATAACATGATATATCTGTTAAATACACCTGACGTATAAATGTTTGCGGCAGTCTGTTAATTCATGCATGTGGTTGTACATGAAAACCTGTCAACTCTACATAAAATGCATATAAATATTGAACACAATTATTGTGAAATCGGTTCGATAACTTGTGAATATAAAAAGATAACGTTCTACACTGAGTACCAGTTATATTTGTCTCTTTCCTTGTCTTAAAACAATGTGGTCAGTTTTGGTAGTGGTCTTTTGTGTTACAGGTAGCGTACAAGTAAGTCATAGTTACCTTTTATTCGGTTGAATATTGTTTTTTTTCTTTTTTTGTTAATTTATATCCATATTTTGTTATTAATATTTAATCTTTTATTGCATTTAACAACTATATAAAGTGTCGTTCAAATTCAGAAATTGTACATGTTGAGGGGGGGAATGATTAAAACTGACATGTTTTTTCTTCTATTCTAATCTAATCAAATCCTTTTATAAAAAAGCTAAACAATGCTAATATTCACGTCATGTTTATCAGAATTTGTAAGAAAAATTGACGTCTAACAAAGAGATATATTACATAAAAAAATTTATAAAAGAAATAAAAGTGAATGTGGTATAATTGCGAATAAATCAACTTTCGATAATGACCAAAGACCAAAAAATAAATTTTCCACTTTTCAACAATCTAACCGAAGTTCTGTAAAAGCTTTTGCTAACAGTTTGTGGTAATCATAAGTAATGCTAAAATAATAGTAAATCCAATATAGTATAGTAGCTTTCGTGTTTGAAGAAAACTATGTATACTGTTGTTTTGCATATGTAAAAAATCAAAAACTGAAGTTTCAAAATAGACCAAAAAGATGTTAGTAGGCTGAAGGCTAAGTTAAACTGATCTGTTTAAATCAAAATGTTCGTTTCAGTTTAAAATCGATTAACACGTGCCATTGCTCGTAAACCTTTCGAAATATATTTTCCTGTTACGCATTTGAAGAAAACTTAACATAATTTCTTTTAGGGATTTTACATAAAAATGCAATAATCTTACTCTTAAGCTAGATGACAACATATGATCAATTTTTACCAGTGTTATATATTAACTTGAAAACTATTATATATTTACTAAATATGTAAACTGTAATAATATTTAGCAAGGCAGGATCTACAAAAAAGCTTCTGAAACCTTAATAATAGGTGCGTTGCCTTTGTGTTTGAGGGGTTTGGTAAATACTGTTTATCCCGACTTTTACGTTTATATCAATTTTGAAGGATTTTTGTCATCAGAGTAAGTCTCTTTGTCATCCTTAGTTGAACAGCAAAAAGTTAAATCACAAAAATACTGAACTCCGAGAAAAATCCAAAACGGAAAGTCCCTAATCAAATGGCAAAATCAAAAGCACAAACACATCAAACGAATGGACAACAACTGTCATATTCCTGACTTGTTTTGTTTTTATTTTACATTGTTATCGAATAACATTTAATTTATATGTTTGAAAAAAAGGACGATCATAATAGTTTTTTTTTTCTCCAAAAAATCATTATCAATAAATTGTTTCTTATGTGTAAAACTAAATTAAAAATACATAAGTCGTTGTACCATTTCTAAAAAAACAGTATTGCAGATTCAAAATTAAGTAGTGTCTGTTTTATCTATGGAAAACTATATTTTGACAAATTTTGTCCACTTAGGGCTTGTCATATAACTATTTTTGACGACTGTATGATGTCTTGATGTCTTCTTCTTTTTTGTGAACATGTAACTCAGTAATATTAACCTCTTATCTCCTTCTATTCAGACAACTTGAATTAAAAAAGACGACGTGACAAACAACAGTTATACTTCATTTGTCTTACATTCATATTAACCTGTATTTATAGATATAGCGACATATAACATAGTATATCATATATTTCATCAACTCTGAATGTACAATTTTTATTTATTGTAGGCGATCATTTCAGGTGAACCAAGTAAGAATTATGATTTATACTTTAAATCTCACATGCGTTGAAAGTCGCAGCATGCGAAACATAGATATGGGAATCCTCTCCCTAATTTGAACACAATCCCGTCAGTTTGACATCAAACCGACGACCCAGAAAACTCACGAGATCAATAGAGGTATGCTTACATTATTCAACAGTAGACAGGCGGCTTAACAACATGTCAAGATCTAAATCAATCCGAGTCTTAAACAGTTGTGAATACCAAGACTATCAAATATCTGGCTTGGTTTACTTTCTTTCCATTAGTAAAAGAAAACAAGACAAATTCCTTCCTACACTCAACAAAAAAACCCGAAAAACAAGTTAATGAAATACAGAGGATACTACAAGAATAATTCAAAGCAAAATCACGTTGACACGGACACAATGTTTTTTCTTATTTTATTCCGTTATCCAAAACAGTTACAATGTTGAAGAATTTAATAGATCCTAAACGTTTTGCGAATTTCCTCTGAACTCATATTTTACGAGAGTAAAAATACATAAATGTACCGAATGATTTAAAACCTTTTATGAACACTAATAACATTAACGATACCAATTGTACAACACCAGATTCGCATTTGGACAATTAATGTCTCTTCGGTGATGTTCGAGGCCAAAGTATTTGAAAATTCAAAATGTTTTCAAAAATTGAAGAGCTGATAAAATCAAATAGTTCAAAAAGTATATCCAAAGTCTGGCAAGGAATCAGAGATATATTCATTAATGTTAATGTGAATAAACAGTACATGGTAAATAATGTTGAGAGTCGTTATCTGTTAGCAAAACAGATATGCAAGAAATGCTGTCCCTATATCAATTTGTATTTTTTCAAACGGGAAGGAAAGTGCACGATGCTGATAAACTAACTCATGACACCTTAATCCATTCACACATTTGTCAAAACCAAAAGAAAAACACATTGCTTTAAATGTCATTCTTTATTAGACAATGTTAAATGAATTCCTTCCTAAAACAGTTTTTAATCATTTTGATATTTGAAATAATATTTTACTACCAGTGTCTGAGCAGGAAGTTGATGAACCAGGGTTATGTCAAAGAATGTCTCGTCCTTTTTCTAAAAATGTTCTTTGGAAGATACCAAGACATTGTTTATAAATATTCCGTATCAACTTCACAAATAATGCATGATGTATAAATATGAAGATGTGATATGGGTGCGAATGAGACAACTCTCATCCAAGTCACAATGTGTAAAAAGTAAACAATTATAGGTTAAAGTACGGCCTTCAACACGAAGCCTTGGCTCACACCAAACAGCAAGACATGATGGTCTTGAAGTATAGATTTTAGGTACTGACGTCGTTTATCATCTTAATTACGTGTTATAGTGTTCTGTTATTTGTCTTTGTAAATTATTAACCTTTACTATTTAGTCTATTTTTGGTAATATCATTTTGTCGTGCTCGGTACTTATGCATCCCACCAATTTTGTTGTTGTGCTGTGGTCATAGTTTTGTATTCTTGTCTTTCATTTTTTCCTGTGTGCTATATATGTGGTCTATATGCCATTTTGTTTCTGTTTGTTGACATATTTGTTTGTTTTAAGATTAGGATTATAACACAATGTTGACTGCTGTACCCCTTTTTTGACATTTTACCTATTATGTCTGTTTGTTTTGTTCACACATTGTTGTCAATATAATGGAATTTTATGCGACTGTCATACAAGTGAGAGGTTTAGCTAGCTATAAAACCAGGTTTAATCCACAATTTTCTACATATGGAAATGCCTCTACCAAGTCAGGAATATGACAGTTAATTCCATTCGTTTGATGTGTTTGAGCTTTTGATTTAGCCATTTGATAAGGGACGTTCCGATTTGAATTTTCCTTGGAGTTCGGTATTTTTCTTGTTTTACTTTTTACCCATTGCAAGAACATCGAATACAAGTGTGTACCATATTTTTCTTTGCATTATCACTATTATTAATGTCAGTTTAAATAACTGTCTGTCTTATATTTCATTAACAAACTAATCCAATGCAAATATATAGATGTATATACACAGCCTTATGCTCATTGTTGAACGCCGTACGGTGACCTATAGTTGTTAATTTCTGTGTTATTTGGTCTCTTGTGGAGAGTTGTTTCATTGGCAATCATTCCACATTCTTATGTTATATGGGTTTCAAATTAGGTTATTAGTTAAGGAAAAAGTGTTCGCTATCGAAACGAATATTTTACCCAGAGGAACTGTAATGAATAAGGTTTTGTTATGGATATATTAGCGCATTAAATCAGCTATTCTATTTTCTTATTAATCGGAATGAATGTGAAAAGAAACGCAACACATTGAAACCAACAAATCCTCTTGGAAATTTAGATGACAAATCAAACACTTTTTGTAAATGTTATCAATCAGTATACAATGTATAAATCCTTGTTTGTATTTCTTTAAATGAGAGCTTGTTGGGTTGTGTGAAATCCTCAGATTTGTTTTTTTTAAAATTGAGAATGGAAATTGGGAATGTGTCAAAGAGACAACAACCCGACCATAGAGTAGACAACAGCCAATGGCCACCGATGTGTCTTCAATGTAGCGAGAAACTCCCGCACCCGGAGGCGTTCTTCAGCTGGCCCCTAAACAAATATGTATACTAGTTCAGTGGTAATGGACGTCATACTAAACTCCAAATTATACACAAGAAACTAACATTGCAAATGATACAAGACTAACAAAGGCCAGAGGCTCCTGACTTGGGACAGGCGCAAAAATGCGGCGGGGTTAAACATTTTTTTTGAGATCTCAACCCTCCCCCTATACCTCTAGCCAATGTAGAAAAAACAAACGTACAATAGTTTTACATACTTTTTTACCTTTTACAAACGTTTCAGAACTAGAATTACCAATGCGGGAACAAATATCTCATGAAAAGTGGATCCCAATGTGTAATTGAAAAGGGAGTAGAAGATACTACCCTGCGTTTCTGTTGACACCAAGTGTACCCAAATATGCACTGTTTCAAAATATATTGTGATGTAGGAAACCCGATAGTTAATATTTACTGTGGAACATGTGGAACAATCTGATTAAATTACAGATTCTGTGTGTACAAGCTTTGCTTACAAGAAGTTGAAAACGACCCATTCTACTTTCTGTTTTAAAGACCTTTCGGAATCCCCTGGTTTTGTAGGAGTTTGTTTTGAGAAATGTATTTTGTTTGCCAAAAGACAAAACATGCTTTTTTTTCTTTTTTTATTGCAGTTGTGGTTATTTTATATTAACGCATCGCATATATTTTATTCGTAAGAGAATAAACTTATTTTTGATATCTTCTCTTACTTCAACTGTGAGTGTCAAAAGCTCAAACACATCAAACTGAATTGAATCTACATGGCGCTTACAAACAAAACAAGACTTATCTTTGCTTTATATCAACGCAACACAAACAACGCTAATGTGTTGTTTGTGATGCTGTTTGTTGTTTATTGATGTACTTTTATATCAGTTTAATACTATCCACTAAATACTAACGTTTATTGGAATGTTCAAATAATGTGATGTCATGGTTAGGTCTTGATTAATAAGCAATATTTCAAATACAATTAAATAAGTAAAATCAGCATCGTGTTTAAAAGATATTCAATATAAGACAATACTATACTTTATGACTTTTTATATCTTCCAATAACAAATCCTATACATAGCAAGATAATTATAATAATTTAGTTTATTTGGAAATGAAATCAACATTGAGAAAAAAAAACTTACAATTCCCATGTGCACATAAACGTGATTCTTGTCCAGTGGCGTCCGAATTTGTAAGGTAACGAGATAAACAAAAATCGAAAACATAAAAGGTCAAAGAATAAACAAAAACAAAGACAGTAGTAATTGTATAAGAACAATTATGCTTACGACAGTTACATGTTTGTTTTGTAAACCTGCAATTTACGAACGAAATGCATTATTCTGACTGGTGTCGTTTGATTAAAGTATATTTTTACAAATTCTGTACGAATTAAAAACAACTAGTTTAACTGTACTTTATTTCTGCTTAAGCAAAAACAAAGCCTGGGTTTTGTCCACCTGTACCCCTGGATACCGTCGGTATTTGTGTTGAAGAATGCAGCAGTGACGACGGTTGTCCGGATAACAAAAAATGTTGCTCAAACGGTTGTGGACATATGTGTTCCTTTCCAACCGGCGGATTAAAACCCCAACCAGGTAATTAGTGTGTGAATTCATATACATTAGCATGCTCAAGCATTGTGTTATTAATTGAAATCAATATCAACACAAAAAAAAATAAGCATTAGCAAAAAATGCACCATTGATTAGTCTCTATTAAAATTATAGAAAAACAACTTATATGAAACGTGTTTGATTGAAATATTGATAGTAGTTCTAACATTAGCGTGAAATGTAACACTAGCATAATTGACTTTATTATTTCGAGTCTTCTCAAAACAACTGTCCCCATTATTCAAACTCACTCGAGCACAATGTTTTTCCCGAATTGTTTTGCCTTAATGGGAACGTTATTTCATGTTCATTTAACGTTTCAAACATTTATTTAACCATCTAGAGACAACAACAAAAAAACGACACTTGAATCAAATTTATTTTCAAATTCAATTCTTTATTTGAAACATGTTTAATTTTTGAAGCAACCTGCAAAATAGGAAAACCCCTAATTAGCATATTGTGTGGTCCTAATCGTCAAAGGTGTCCCGAGAAGTATTACTGTAATATCGACCCAGCTGGTAGATTTGCTGTTTGCTGTCGAAAAGTTTAAACTAGTATGTCAGAAATAAATAGATTTAGATAAAACCAATGTTGTTGATTAGAATCAGTAACAGGAAAGATTGAAGTTGGCTACTAACGTCAAACCTGATAGGAAAATGAACAAAGAGCAAGTGACGGATTTAAATCTAACAAATTCTAGAAGATAATAATCCACTCCAAAATGCTTATTTTTTATATGAAAAAAGCACATGACATAATGTACAAAAACAGTGAAGGAAAGATCACAGACTCTGTAAAAACGGTAAAGTGTTGGCTAACATATAAATTTTATAAAAACTATAAAATCAAGTGCTAATCGTTTCATTTCGTCATTTATTTATTCAAATTGATATGTAAGTTCGACAGAAAATTATTCAATAGTATGGATTCGTGAATGGATTGTGCAAATTCACAAATTATGGCCTACCTGCTAGCTGTAGGTTTATACCACATATTGGATAATTCAGTTGCATTTGCAATGAATACGTACCATCAATTTAACCTTAACCACTTTTTGGGTCCTCAATGATCTTCAACTTCGTACTTTATTACGCCTTTTCAAATTTTTTTTCAATCGCCATTGATGAGTCTTTTGAAGACGAAACTCGCGACTGGAGTACACAGTTCGTAGCCTGTTATCTATAATGAGTCTATTTTTGTAATTCGTGATGGTATATCTCTCATATTGACCCGCATTCTAAAGAAATCGGTAACATACTATACTATGCCCCAATACACATCATCGCTATTGTTTCTGGACGTCCGAGTTGTAAACCTTAAAGAAATATCTGACGCAACAAAGCAAAGTAACCGGTGTATGATGTAAACAGTTCAATTGTTCAAAATATTTGGTCAAGTGTAACAGATTCCCAAAATGTATTACATTAATATGACGGTTTAACAGACTATTATATAGGTGTTACATCGATGATACAATGTTAAATTCTAGATAAATAGTCAGGATAAAATTCCAACTTTTCATATCACAGTTATTTCCAATAGTAAACATATTCTTAAAAAAGTATAACTCGAAATGCTAAAAAAAAAAATGGACAACAAAAAAAGGTTCACAGCAACCACTAACATTCGACTGAATTTCAAAAGATAATTTCGAATATTAACTGTGTTTGGCCTCATGCCTAGATACAACCTATCAGAAAGATGACACAAAAGAAACAAAGTACATGGCCTAAATAATGTACATGTTACAGTCATGCTTTGAGATAATAATGATGTATGATGTATCACAATCCTGAATGCCATAGCGGATTTCCTGTTTCACAAGGATATACATTGTTTGTCCATATAAAAAATTAATTAACAATTTGGTTCTTTGTTAGTATTTTTGCATTAATCTTATCTGTATACATTAACATGTAATAGCTTTTAAGCTGACAATACAGTACACCGAGAACAAAAATACGCATTATGTATACACCACATACACCTTAAATTGTATTTCCAGTATAGGCATTTAGTAATATCCTTACTATAGTAAATTCAATTAAAATATTGCCTTAACATCTCAAAAGATCTTTAAAGATTGTTGATGAAAATTAATTAGAATAAAGGTAGTCTGGGATATTGGCTCATCATCGACATTTGCATCAATCCGTCAATTTTGGAATTTTGTTCGTGGTCTCTTTTTTTATATATTTTTTCATAAATTGTATATGTGACGTTATTTAAAGTTAACCTCATTTGCATTACATAAACTTTGAGGCTTTGTGTACGCAACGACTTAGGTTGATCTTGTTATTTCGGCCCGTCCACGAGGGAACACAGTTTTGAACGACCTCCTGTACACATACATTTGGTTTTTGCATTTTTATTTCGGTGACTTTTTTAAAAATCAATATGCAGTTATGAGAGAAGCGTTTCGTCGGCTTTGATTGTATGGCAGCGATACTGTCGTCTATTATGAACCATATTCCCTATTGTGACATTCTTGGCCGAACCTGGATTGGCACGGCAGATGACGCATACGTAGCAGGAGAGGATAACAATGTCGAAATAACCTGCCGTGCTCCGATTAGATTTTAAGCGATTCCCATATGTTATGAAGATAAAGCTGTTTATAAATATTCACTGAATACAATAATAAGCAATGAGGAAAACGAGAAGCGATTGATCACTGTGAAATACACTTGTAAATAATTTTAGTCATTAAACAGTCATTGTGTTTATAACGTCATCTGAAAAGTCTGAAAAATAAATTGGTTGGTCATGTTTAGTCTTCCAATCAATTTTCAGACTTATCCACAGCCGTCAATTTATTATTGTTCAGACATTTCGCTTGCACTAAATTCATAAAATTGAGAATGGAAATGGGGAATATGTCAAAAAATACAACAGACCGACCAAAGAGCAGATAACAGCCGGCCACCAATGGGTCTTCAATGGAGCGAGAAAATCCCGCACCCGGAGGTGGGCCTCAGCTGGCCCCTAATTAAAAAAATTGTTCAGTACAGTTGCGTAGCTTTTCAGACATTCAGTATGATGTCGAAGTGATCAGGTAAATAACAATTACTGATCAGTCTGAATATAGACTGAACAGATCTTAATTGATTGCAAGCGAATTATCTAAACAGTACTTTGCTATACAAATTGACTGAAAGACTGTAAAAATGAAATAACAATACATTGTTCATCCTTTTAAGAGCTGTTCAGATCAAAGTTGGTTTACTAATTAAACATAGAATTGTACCTTTGCCCCACATTTTCAATACTAAACTTTGTTACCACTTTCCTTTTATCATGGTGATTTAAATCTCATTTGTCTAATGCATGTTATGTTTTATATGTTATATCATCAATCACGACGTAAACAAACAAGTTATACTAGAAAATACATTTCATGAATATTTAACACAAAGGCGGTTACATATTGTTTTACTTGAAAATAAAAAGATAAGACGTGTTCCGATTACTTATTCTGTCTTACATATAATAATGTGGTCAATTTGGATACTAGTCTTTTATGTTATTGGAAGTGTACATCTTGATATCAACGGAAAGCTTAATACTAAAATATATGATAAAAGAGATGAGTTTTCATTTCCTATCGTTAATTATCCATTTTTAGATGGTGACGTTCCCTAGTCACCATCTTACGGTGTTTATATATCTCAACTTGTACGATTCGCTCGTGTATGTAACAATCAGTATAAGGACATCATTCGTAAATATAGCTCAACATGCAGACTTCTTATACGTTCAGGTATTTCACATCCATTTTTTTTATGGAAATATTCTTTATAAAGCACAAAAATGTCAGTATTCACCTCTGAAACTAACAAAACCTTTAAATAGACTTATTAAGAAGGGATATAGTTACGATACTGTTGTCAGGTCATTAAAGATTGCATATTTTGGCGTTAATATTGATTCACTTATAGGGTCTTTGCATCGGCACTAAACACATTTATTTAAAAACCAGTTGTTGGCATGACACGGGTTATGTTCTTCTCATATATGTTATGATGGTATGATACTAAACCCCTAACGGGAAGGATTGTGCCTGATATTCATATGATGAAGACATAATCTTTCAATCAGTTTAATTGAAGTCTGGAGCTGGCATGTCAGTTAACTGCTAGTAGTCTGTTGTTATTTATGTATTATTGTCATTTTGTTTATTTTCTTTGGTTACATCTTCTGACATCAGACTCGGACTTTTCTTGAACTGAATATTAATGTGCGTATTGTTATGCGTTTACTTTTCTACATTGGCTAGAGGTATAGGGGGAGGGTTGAGATCTCATAAACATGTTTAACCCCGCCGCATTTTTGCGCCTGTCCCAAGTCAGGAGCCTCTAGCCTTTGTTAGTCTTGTTTTATTTTTAATTTTAGTTTCTTGTGTACAATTTGGAGTTTAGTATGGCGTTCATTATCACTGAACTAGTATATATATTTGTTTAGGGGCCAGCTGAAGGACGCCTCCGGGTGCGGGAATTTCTCGCTGCATTGAAGACCTGTTGGTGACCTTCTGCTGTTGTCTGTTCTATGGTCGGGTTGTTGTCTCTTTGACACATTCCCCATTTCCATTCTCAATTTTATATGTACAAGTTAGTCCAATATTTCTATGCTAGGCCCAAATAATTCAATTAAAAAAATATATATATCCATAAAGAGACTTTATCTAACTTGTATTAAGTTCTCAAGAGAAATTTGCGGAAACTGTGTGATTGTCTATACTTAGTATTACACTTACAGTTGACAAAAAACAAGGGGTCATCTCAAAATATAAAACACAACCTGCGTATTCTTGGGTTTCCGAACAATCTGTGTTCTTGTATAAGATGTATATTTGATGTCTGTTTGGATGAATTTTGTCGCTCAGCAATTACATCTCAACCGAGATTAATAGTTCAGGTCTAATATTGAATTTTCTCATCAACATATATTGCTGAGAATCGTTTTGAGAAATTCACGCTCAACATGAATTATCATGCCTTCATTCGACATTAAACTTGAGTGTTAACGCCGTGATAATGTATGTGTCTTAATGATACTGTTCCTGTGGTTCTGTTATTGGCTGATAAATTTCAGTTAAAGTTCCGTTGATAGCCCTACTTCAAATGGAAGTTTTTGCCACCCACCTTGTAAATTCTGCCATTAATCTAATGCTAAAGACTAATGAATAAGACGGCTAAATGTTTCTGTCAAAATAGGTATAAATGTATGTGTTTCATCTTTGATAGTCGAAATACTAGCTTCACATATATCAGAAAGCATATGATAAGACAGATACGAGCATAACCATAACATAAAAAGAAGTTATATGTTTCTCAATTGAAATGCAAGGAATAATGAATAGTTCTTTAACAGCATGTTCACCCTGGATAACAACATATACAAAATTTAATGGGTACACATTACCACCATATTTCTTTGATAACCCAATTGTTTAAACATAGAAAAACATCATTTGGACGCATGAAATTATTAAACGTGTTGTTTTCAATTTTTGAGCGTACATTGAAGTTAGCCTTTATTTTGGAACGACGGTTTATATTTACACTTTGAGACGACCCGAGATTTAAATGCTACCTGTAAGTGTAGTTGTAATTGTTATCGTTGGTGTATGACAGTTTCCGCAAATGTCTTATTAGATATTCTGCATAAACCTTATCGCTATTTAGTTCAATCCGGAAAAAACAGTCATTTAGACAACTTCCTGTTTGGGTCAACAGGCCTTGAACAGGAAAACAACAAAGGTCATCAGTAAAGAGTTGAGGGAGGGAAAAATTTAGAAAGCGATCAATACGAAACTTTGATAGATTATGATCCACTTTTTCGAAACTCAAATTATAAAATATTTTGTTTGAAGTATTTACGATGCTTTAACCAGATCTCATTAAAAAGTATCATGCATGGTGCATTGTGTAAACAGGGCCCCAGATAGCTTCAACTGGATGAAAAAGTTGTGTAATTTTAGAACTTATCCGGAATGGAATAAATATCGATTAGGTGTATTATCATGATTATTGTTGTATGTTAAAGCAGAAATAGAAGCCAATTGTAACTGGCATGAATTGATAAAACTTCGGAAGTTTTTGCATCTGAAATGTTGTCATTCTCATCAAATAAGATTGATTATTGATTCCAAATATCTTAAAGGAGTTATAACGTACAGAAAAGAAAGTAAAGCTAATAACTTGAATATGTGTTGATGTTTATTTACACAGTATGTGAAAAAGGAACACCAAAAGGTCAGTGTGGATTAGGACCAGGTGGTGCACAATGCCCATGGGGAAATTATTGTAGGAATTCAGTCTGCTGCCAGTTTCGTAAGTAGTCAAATGAACATTGCACGATCCTAAACATTGTTTTGGGGATATACATTTCCGACCGTGCAAGGGCTGTATAGCCAGTCAAGGTCGTTAAAAACTTCCATTTGTTGTTGTTGAGTAAGGTGGATGACTCCTGTTTATATGTTTGGAAGTCACTTGTGCATGTTTGTCCTTCCTTTATTTTGATATTGTTTAAGAATCTCTGTTTGAAGAATTAGCACCAGTGAGAATTGACTCTCCAAGATTGTTAATTAGTCAAAGTAGATGTGCTTTATACCAAAAAGTCATAAAAATACCAAGCTTATAATTAAGTACGTCAGACAGGCGTTCCATTTACAAAATCATCACCAGTGACGCACAAATATATACAGTTGGAGATCTACACAAATGCAAATTGAAGACTACTGAAAACTAAAATTTCATAAAAGGTGGTACAAACTGAGGCTTAGACCATCTATACCTAGGAGTGCCAACGACGTATAGGAGCTAAGTATTTCATCTTTTTTAATTCTCAATTCGACAATAACATTTCACCGGGTACTTGAAAACCATTATAGTTGATATATCTTTGGTAATAATCTGAAAAACGCAATGATGAGGATATATTTATAGGTTGTTGCATAACATGACAGTATAAATAGTTACAAAAAACAACTATGTGGTGAATCGATACATGGCATAAAATCCTATAAAGTATTTGCTGTCTGTAAACATGATTGTTTGCTATAGATACAATTCATGTGGACTCGTTGCTTTCGGTATCTATCGTTCGTGTTCTAACAGTTTTATATCGTCTTTGAATCCGATTTTAACACAAAGTTGAAAAAGATAAGTTAGTTTTTTTTAGTTATTTTACGGATTTTATTTTATTTCTATTCAAATTTCATGGAATGGGGTTTCTGGCTTTAAAATCCACAGGACTATTATTTTTCAATATTTTAAGATATTCATGTACCAACATATAATTATTACCATGAAAAAAAATGTTTTCAAATGATCATGTATTCATGAAAAAATATTTCAACACATAAATTTGTAAAACACTATAAATAAATTAACAGTTCTCTTTCAGTATATACACATATGTATAAGACGAAATGTAATATGTACTAAAATGTATTTCTCTGGTAACAAAATATAAGAAAGTAGTCGATTGAGTATGTTTTTTTTTTTGTTGATATTGATGGTTGACTTATTTTGTATTTTATATCGTGATAGCTTGTAAATATGGCAATCCCCATGGTTCACGTACCTGTGGTATGATTGTCGGATCCAACAATTGTCCGTATGGATATCATTGTATTGGAGGTCCTGCAGATGAATACTTTGCTTGTTGTCCAAATGGTATGTTATCATTGAATAATATCAGTTACAAATTCATCAAGTTACAGCAACGCTTTATCATTTTTATGTTTCCTGTTGACGACGTTAATACAATTCAAGAATATAAAATAGTATAAAACATCTATATATATATATATATATGAAAGGCAATTTTTGTAGGTAATAAACGAGCGAAGATCCAACAGATGTATCCTGAAAATTGTTTCACAATCATCTAATTTTGACATATTTAAATTCAAATACGTGGGATCAAACATTTTACAAAATACATTATATTTTATTTTCTCTGATCAGAAAGGAAAAGTATATACATATATTCCCCCAGTTTTTGATGGGGTTCGTGTTGCTTAGGCTTAAGTTTTCTATGTTGTGTCATCTGTACTATTATTTGTCTGTTTGTCTTTTTATTTTTGGCCATGGCGTTGTCAGTTTGTTCATGTCGTTAGTCTCTAGTGTATCGTTGTCTCATTGTTAATGACAGCGCATCTATCTATTTTCATATGACATGTTTTATATATAACCAAGACTTAAGTAATATAAAGATGTATACGTACAAAAGACAACATATGTAGGTATTGAAAGAACTTATCTTTAGATACCTACAATTATTCGGAAAATGTTCTTATTCTTTTTAGTGTATATATATCTAAACTTTGTCTCTATGGCCATGTGTGTAGTGATGTCTTGTATCTAAATCAGCTTGATATACGGGAAAGTGGATTAATATTCCGTAAATTAGGGTGTTTTCATAAACAGAAAAACATCTGAAGCCTATCTTTGGTTATAGTAATCGTTTTAGTTTAATGTTTAAACTATTAGAAGTTCCAGGCACACAAATGTTGAAAATATACGGCACAGCCCTGCGTTTTTACCTTTGCAAAACAATGTTATGCATGTGAACTTTTCATTTCCACAATAAAAAATTTTACGAAACAGCTTTATCCGAAAAAGGAGTTTCTATTGGAAATACCTTTGTCTATATATACACCGTAGACCCGTAGAATTCTAGCTTTTACGTCCTTTTCTTTCACTTTGGCGGAGAGTTATCACATTTGCTATCATACAACAACTCCTTATTTTATAATTAATATGTGATATGGTTTTATATGGAAAGCCAACCGGCCAAAATTCTTAATTCGTTAATTGTCATTTTGTAACTTGTTACTTCGTAATTTCAAAATTCTTAATTCGTAAATTGTAAATTTGTAACTTGTCACTTTGTAATTTCAAAATGGTTAATTCGTAATCTTGTAACTGTGTAACTTCAAAATTCTTAATTCGTAAACTTGTAACTGTGTAATTTCAAAATTCTTAATTCGTAAATTGTCCATTTGCCACTTGTAACTGTGTAATTTCAAAATTCATTTATTGAAAATCTGTGTTTGCAACTTTGAAATCAACATTTGTAATTTTGAGATTCTTTTTTTGCGACATTGTAATTAATTAAATCTAACATTAGTATACTATTTCTTATTTTGCCATTCTTCATTTGTTACCACGTCACTTAAGCATTTGCCATAGACACGCTGAAATTCATATATTGATGTTTTGTAACTTAAAACACGTCGATTCGTTAAATATCGATTCGTTAAATGTCATCGTTGTATTATTCGAACGATCATTATGACGACAGATGGCGCTCGTTTTCTTTCTTCTGTGTATAAGCATCCTGTAAGTAAGAGTACCTCCATATGGAGTATATACCCTTAGTAATTTAAATCAATTACTTAGTATGTACAGCACATACATACAACAGAAAACAAATAGATAAATAATTGTTTTCTTTTTATATGGCATATATACCATGTATACAGGAACTCGGTTTTATTTTGTTTTCTGAAGACGACAGGTTGAGCTGCGTTCGAGAACGGAAACGACATCATTACTGGAAAACCCAGATAACAAACATATTTTTATATATGTTTATATTAATCCTAAAATTCGATTATCGGACCATTTGATTCTGACTGAGAGGGAATGGATGACATATATATATATATTAATATACATGCCTTCTAAACTTTACTGGTCAAGAAGTAATTGCCGCCGCCCGAATTTTCGTCCTATAAACATTTACAAAATGTTTTGCAGACAAAACGTCTCACAGGATGTTCTCCAATTATTCCCGATTCTCGATTCCCTACCCCTCAACTCCGGCTTCACGTCCACTACTACCGGGATCCTGCCCCCTTGCCACACCCTCCTCACATTTTTCGACTAGTTTGCTCTCCAAAATGAACTCTCACAGACACATTCCCCCCCCCGCAGCCAAGTATGGGCAAAGATTTTCATGGAGAAATTAAATTGTTGTGAACAGATTGGCGAGATTTGTATCTGTGAGGTCTTCCCTCTGACCAGCCAGTAGAAGTACTGGGCTAAAAGTATTTCTCGCCGGCAAATAGTTCTTGCCACCCATTTTAGCGCCTCTCCTGTCCGAAAAGTTATACCTAAATTTGAAGACATAACATCTTCCAGATTGCTGATATTTTGCGCTCTAAAAGGAGCTGTCATATATGAAGATTTTTTCATGGAAAAATAAAAGTAGGGTAAGCAGATTGGCGATAATTGCTTCTATCATGAAAATTGCGAGTTGGCGAGATCTTCTCTCTGACCAGTCAAGGGGGATAGGGATGTCACTTTGGTTGAAAGTGGGTATAGGTGCAATAAAAAAAGAAACCGTGTCATAGTTTTAAGATCATGGTCGTTGACAAAATATCCAAAGGGGACACCAGGACATCACACCGTTTTACTACTAGTATATGTCATGTCTCAACGATCCAGCATTCATTACGTTTTCTGGTTGCCAATGGTCAGATTCCTTTAGACTTTATATATATAACAAAATATTGCATATTAAATACAGTTTTAATATATGTAGTATACATTAACTAAGTGACTCATTTAAAACAATATTTCTTTGCTCATTGAATCATTGAATAGTTTGAATCTCAATGTTAAAATTTTGGAAAAGAATGAAACTATCCACTGCAAATAGATGAAACATCTTTATTTATTTGACTCTTGAGTAATGAAGATATAAAAGTTTTATATCATGTTTGAATAATGGGTGTCAACCCATTTCTCCCATCATATACTAAGTCCATAATTTCCAGCCCAGAACAATATTAGTCTGAATTTTCCGGATCAGTCTTATATTTCGTGTATTTAGTGTGAAATTTTTTACCAGTTCATATATTAAGTCTGAAATTTCCGACCAAGTGACAGTCATATATTTGCCAAGATGAAAAAGGGACCCATTCCAGCGACACATCTGTATATACTCCCTCCAAGGTGTGGTGACCAGTACAGTAGACATACATGCATATTCGAGGTCACCTCTATATAAAACCGAGTCCCTGTATACTAGTATATGCCTTATAAAAACACTTAAATTGTATTTATCTATTTGTTTTCTTTCATATGTATGTGCTGTACATAATAGATTTGAATTACTAAGGGTGTATTCTCCACATGGAGGTGCTCCTGCTTAATGGAGGCTTATACACATAAGAAGAAAACCGAGCACCATCTGTCGCCATAATGATCGTTAGAATAATACAACGATGACATTTAACGAATCGACATGTTTCAAGTTACAAAACATCAATATACGAATTTCAGCGTGTCTATGGCAAATATTTAAGTGACGTGGTTACAAATGAAGAATGGCAAAATAAGAAATAGTATACGAATGTTAGATTTCATGAATTACAAAGTCGCAAATAAAGAATCTCAAAGTTACAAGTGTTGAATTTCAAAGTTGCAAATACAGATTTTCAATATACGAATTTTGAAATCACACAGTTATAAGTGGCAAATTGACAATTTACGAATTAAGAATTTTGACCCCGTTGGCTTTCCATAGTTTTACGCCTTTCCTTAAAAGTTAGATATATTCGTGTTATTGTTTTACAAATATGTTTGTGTAAACATCACATTCTATTATTAACATTACTTTGAATAAATTTAGATATACTACTAACAGTTCACGTAATTTTATTTTTATAGCCCCCTAGACCAACACATTAGTCAGCTGCAATGGTATGTCAAAGATACATCCTGATGTTGAAAACAAGAAATTATGCACGATTGTCATTATAGATGTGTAGATCTTATTAGCCGACTGTTTTGTTGACAGAAATGAATAAGATCAACTATTCCATTGTTTAATAAACTAGACTTTCAATTAAGATAACGGTGTGTTCTGCTTGATGTAGCATAATTCCCTCGTTCATTGAAATCCATCAATGAATGACATACTATTAGTTACCATAGCAATACCACAGTGTACCAGCTAGGGCGAAAATGGAAACCTTCATTGCCTGCATCTAAATATATTCCAATTTTCAGTGTGGTTCGGGTTTAATACACAGTGCAGAGTAATGTGTGTATGTTTTGCAGTTTTATTTATTTTGACTAATGGGTTTCTTTTTTTTTTTCTTAATCGTATTGTTTTCTGATAGCCCTCGTATATATCCTACTATTGTTTAATGTATCATATATACAAATGTTTTGGTATTTCTTCAAGATTTCTTTTTTTTTTTGGCATTTCCCCTTCTAAATGTCAGCCATTTACGTGGTGAGCTATTTCTACCAGAATGTATCATTAGGCCAGTACTCAGTGCGTTGGTACGGACATAATTTATATATACATTTATAAAATACCCTATTAATATATCAAGTGATGATGTTGCAATTAAATTTCCGATTTTTTTAGAAAAGTTTACCTTGGTTGTATTTGCCTGAAGACGTTCGGTTACTAAGGATATGTATTACGCATTCCTGTGGTGTCTGTCGTTGGTGGGGTGTGTTCGTTGTTGTTCTACGATTTGCGTGTTGTGTCGACTTTTGTGTTCTTTGTTTGTGCGTTTCTCTGTGATGAATGTTCTTGCGTGTGTTTGTGCTGTATTTCTGTCACGTGGTGTTGTTATTTTAGTGATATTTTTTAACATTGTCATATAAGCGGGAGGTTTGGCTAGCCATTAAACCAGGTTCAACCCACCACATTTTCTTGAAATGTCTTGTACCAAGTCAGAAATATGGCAGTTGTTATCAAATAGTTCGTTTCTATGTATATTGGCCTTTGTTTTTGTCGCACTTCTGTGTTCCTGTTGTTCCTTTTTTTTCATTTTATAGTTGATGTGTTTCCCTCGGCTTTAGTTTGTAACCCGGATTTGTTTTCTCTCAATCGATTTATGACTTTTGAACACCGGTACTCTGCTGTTGCCTTTATTTACGATAACCAATGAAACAATTATCCACCAGAGACCAACGGACGTCAAAGTATTTAAGTATTTATACAACATCAGATTTCAAATTTCTAGGATTGATATTTTTTTTTGGGGGGGGGGGGGGGGGAGATAATCCGTTACAGCGCTTAATTTTCCAAATTGTTATCCTCTTTTACAACAACGGATACAAACTTTGAGGGTGTTACTGTTCAGTCTCCTTTGTTGCATTCTGCAATTTCAAGCATTCTAAGCTATTTTGTCTTATTTTAAATAAAGAAACAGTCATTTCATCTCAAAGCTATAACTTATCCTGGCTTGTACTGACAAATTAATCATATCTTCCATTGATGATTAGAACGCACTGGTTCACGGGTGCTTGTTAGGAAAAAATCGGTACTTCTGATCTTAGAAAAAGGACAAATATTCCCTTATGTTATATTTTCATATATCTTTTTGTATTATTTAAAGGAAACTTTCAACAATTATTTTACAGTGATCCAAAGTCCTTAAGCTTTAATACCAAAATTACTCAAATAAGTTACATATTGACCTTCCAACCGTTTGAACTTAAGCGTTTACGGTGAGTTTTATGTAGACGAAACGTGCGTCTGGTATACACAACTATAAGCCTCTTAGATTTTATGAATTTATATAACTACACAGTAGTGTCCGGTAATTCCGCCCATCCAGTAAACCCGGCCACTCCCATTTCTTCCGTAATTGTCACTCCCGAGAATATTTCGTCTGCTATTTTATTCATTCAAACTGTCCTTATCACTGCATGTCAAATTTTAAAGAAAAATCCTTTATTACTAAAAATCTAGTAATATATATAATACAGTTCCTAAAGCTAACGATAATCATGTTATTGGTTACACAACTCATTTCTGACTAGAAACATATTTACTGCGCATGGGCGGATTTACCTGCCAAACACATTTCCAATAAAAACAAGGATGACCCGCTTGTTTTGTTGATTTTGAAATGTATTTCAGATAATTTTTGGGAGATGAGATACACTACTCAAAGTTGATTTGTCAGTGAATCGATTTATATTAAATTTGATACAATTTGTATATAATTAAGCAGAAATACATACGATCAAAGCCATATGTGGGCGGATTTACCGGACTGCATCGTATGCATAGAAACTATTTTGTTTGAAAGATGTTATACTTTTATAGAAGAATGATTAGAACATACCGTCCTATATTTTTAATACTTAACCCACTTGTGGCATTTTGGACAAAACTGAACCAAACTGACTGCTTATAGCGACATATTATTTCAGAACTCTGTTTTTATGAACATTTCGTCCTAGAACAAAACACATTTCTATGTTTTGTCTGCATCGTAGCGAATGCCCCTTTTACTTACTCTAAATATCTATCAATACCTTTTGTGATTCATGGGTTGAAAGCCTACAAGTTTTATTAAAGTTAAGTTGGCTCACCCCAATAAGGACCCTCGGTAGAATTTTTTTATTTTCACATATTTTGTAGATCTTTTTATGCTGAATCCAAAAATGCAAAGAACAAAGGGAGTCACCAGGCTCGTTTTCCCCTGAAATGGAAGCAAAATGTGCAATTTTGACCCTATTTCCAAACATTTCCACCCTTTCAACAATAACGGTTACATCAAATTCAAAGACTTTTAGAACCATGTCAATATGATTATTATGTGAAAAAACATAAAAATTTGAAATGTAAACGTTTCCCTCGGTTGTTTTAGACCTAAAAGTCCATTTATTTCCAGACTTATATCTAAATTTTGCATTTTCTAATTTCAGTTTAAGGCTAGAAATATTGGTTAAATCAATTTTTCGTTAAATTTCCCCTGTAGATTATTTTTTAAAAACGGATATGTCAAAGCTATGAACTTTTCAAGCATTTTAAGGTAAAATAAAATGGGGGTCACCAGGTTTTAAAACAAATTATGGACTTTTTGTTTAACCCCTCTACCCCATGAGGTCTGATTTCAATGCACTCCAATAATTACTTTGTTGTGAAGTCTTTATTGATGGCTTTAATAAAATAATGTTTGCAATTATATCAATGAACGATAGCTGAATATAAATGTGATTAACATATAACTGTTTGTTATAAAAAAGCGAAATATTGATTATTTTGGGGAAATACAGTAATTTTGTCTGGCGAGGGTTGTTTCCCTCTAAATTGGCGCGTTAATCGGACAACAGAAATTTCAGGTTCGCCATTGTTGATCAGCATACATAACTGATGAATACGACCATGTACATGAATAACAGACAAAGTGGCGAATAGACAACGATGCAGGTAAAGTCATTACATAAGAAAACATAGATTTTAATATTTTAGGCAGCCAAATGTTATCAGTATCACGAAAAATACAAAGTGGGGGGTTGTCTCAAAATACTCGCTACGGTAGAAAATCTCTGCGCCTGAAACCTTGCATGGCTAAGTTTTTGTTCTATGTATACTCGTTATGGCTGGTATCTTATTTATGTGTTTGTTTGATCCTTAACTGGCAAGTTGTGAACATGTATAGCCTGTTGGGAAAAATATCGAGGGGATGGACAGGGTAGGAATGCCCTTCACTGCCAAGCATCACAAATGTTCTTTCCGCTACCGTAAGGCTAAAATGAATCTTGATTTTTAATCGTCATTTGTAAAATCTAATTTCGTATCTACGTTTGGATCAAATCGAGTAAAATATTTATCGTTAACGTCTAATGTGGGGTACACCATAACTGCTCTCCGACAGGGGTCAATGAATCCCACTCCCTATCCCCAACCCCCATTTCCCTTCCCTTTTACTCTCAAATATTTCCCGCCTACTTCCACTTTCATCCCTCTTGCTCCCAGACAACAAATTGGCCAAATATATTTCCAAGAATATTCATCCCCCCTCTTTTCGAATTCTGGTCCTTTCACCCAAATCATGTAAGCTCGCATTCACGTTCACCCCCTTTTACATTTGCACCCCACACGTTCGCACCCTTGGTCTGTTTGCATCCTTCCTTTTTTTAATGGTGCTTTAGTTAGTATAGTTCTATAACATGATAAAATAAAGATATTAAGTTTATTTTATTGTTTAAAAATAAAGTGATACACACAAGATCAAAGGGCACAGGCTGTTAACAATGGTTAAAAACAATTATCTGGTCTTTTCTATTTATAATCTTCATAATATTACTTCTACCCTCAGTTCCTATCAAACTAGTTACTTTTATTTTCACTTGAGACCGAACTAACAGACCCAATACCCCTTTTCCAACACCCTGAATCCTTCTTCCTGACACCTCATTCTAATGTTCTCTTACCCCTGTTCACCCCCTCAAGAGTTTGATTGTTTTATTTGTTTTCTTGGGAATATAAATCCCTAATCTGTACATTTTTACCCCTACAGTACGAGGCAATACATTTTATTGATGAATTCGTCTTGATCATAATTTGTTTACAATTAACCCCCCTCTCTCTTTGGTATAAAAAATTTCTTAAGGTCAAGTATCAGGTTTAAACATACATTGTAGGGCTTATCTAGTTTACCAAATAACACATACATTTGAGTTGAAAAGTTTATAATTGTTTTGTGCTGAGTATTTTTAAATACAAAATTTGTGTATCCCTTATTCCAAACAGGGTACAAGTAACCTCAACATAATTTGGTTGGCCCGAGAAGTCTGTATTCAACATATAAAAACAAAATTATTATCTATACTTGCTGTGCATGTAATTTTATTTTGTTTGTTCATTATTGATCGCCACAAAATCTTCATTTTTTAGCTCACATGGCCCAATGAATTCTAACCAAACTTGGCCACAATCATCATAAGGGTTTAAAAAATCTGTCTGATGACCCTGCCTGCCTTTCAACATGACAGACATGACTAGAAATAGAACATAGGGGTAAAATACATTTTCTGGCTTATGTCAATGAAACTAAACATTTAGAGCAAATCTAACATGGGATAAAAATGT